GTACACCTTTAATCGAATTTCAAAATTAACTGTTTACGAGCATAGAAGTGACTTCTTTTTGTTGAAAGCAACTCGACCCTGCGCCATCCTCTATTTTATATCTCTACCTTTCATCCTTAGTTATCTGACTTCCTAGATACCGAAAATCAGTCACTTTTTCTAATTTTTCGTCTCTTATGTTTATATTCGCTCTTTCCCTACCTATTCTTCCCTTTTTTTTATAGTTTATAAAATCTCATTCACATTATCACGTAAATCAATACTTTTCAAATTTCAATGCATATAAAGCTTGCATAGTTGCAAAATAATTTTTCTCTTACGTTAGTTAGATACAATTCCTTTACTGATAACGGAATAGGTTCATTTGGGCTCATGTTTCTATTAGGCTTTTTTTGTTAAAACAACTGGGTTCATTGTTTGAAAATATATTTTTCTCGAGTGTGTTTCCGTCGAGTGTGTAGGAGTACGTCGTATTACCTACCATCTCTAACGTCGACGACGTGAACGGCGTCAACGGCGTCGTTCCCATTGCGAAACTTAGGGTTCGGCGCCTCTTCTCTTGGCACTTGACGAGGTCGGGGTCGGGGCTGAGAGAGGCTGTATAATCAAATTGCCGAGGCGACCTTAAGAAAGGGACGACCCTGATTCGTCTCGTTCCCCTATTCGAAGGGAGGAACCACTCTTCGTGCTCTCGTATATTCGATAATAAATCCTGCTTTTGCTGGTACTACAGGAAAATATGTACAAATTCGGATAAATATCGAATTTATCTTGTAGGCAATAGAAAATAATAACAGTGGTGTGCCGTTTGAGATTACAATACCTGCGGATTTCAATTTAAGTTCAAGATGTCTTGATACATTACTCAAGACTATTGCAAGAATTATTTGTAATAAAATAAATTAAATTTTGGGCCCTCCTGATTTATACGAACAGTTTAGTTTAAAACGTCGCAAAATTTTATTTTTTCCAAATCGACTTTTTAATTAAGGTGTGATAGGTTAAAAAAATTATCTGTAAATGATCTTTTCCAAAATACATACAATTGCCTCAGCTTTAATAAGTTATTAGTTGTTGTTTAAATATTTTGACAAACAATAGCATTAAAATAAAAAGAAAAGCGTTTTTTAATCATCGAAGCACCTATATTTTCCTAAAACTCTCTATTTGCCCCATTGAATCGCAAATTACATAATTAGAGAAAATGAGGAAAACCTAAACTAACCTACCCTACCTACATACCCTTAAAAATAAATATGAAATCATGCTTCTTTTGAATTATTGGTTTTATTTTTAGTTAGTTTAAATTGCCCTGATTTGAAAATGATCAAACATCTTCTTCTCTCTGTAATTAAATAATTAAATCGGAAAGATATTTTTGATGATTGATAAACCTTTTTTTTCTTGTTTTAATACTACTTTTTCTTAAAATGCTTAAACGATTAATAATATATTACAGCTATAAAATACCGCCAGAGAAATTTCAAATTGTTATTTCAATTCAACGCATTTTTTGTTTATATCATTACAAATATAACTAGTTGTTTAAAACCACTGTAAGTACTTATTGAAATACTGCATTTTAATAAAGCAGAAATATCGGCAAATGGCGAGAATTTAAATAAATAACGGTAAAAAAAATAAATGTGTAAGTATTAATGAATCAGGAATACAATTATGCAAAACGATACAACTGTTACTAGATAATTACGATACGTTGGGTCAATTTGGATATTTATAAACTTTATAAAGCATTACTGACAATTTTTTTTGTGCAGTTGTGCGGTAGCGATTGTAGGCTACAATTAATTTTTTCATGTTTCCGCAAGATTCGATAATAAATTTGGAATCAACTTTAGAAGGCTATCATTCTTACATATCACACGCACGACGTAGAAGTCTTATTACAATATTTGTACGGTTGACCTTTGACTATCTTCATAGACATTTTAATCATATTCGATTCAAATGGTTCCTACTAATGAAGAAAAGGCTGAAAACAATCATAATTTCGATAATAGAATTACACCAATTTCATTATCATAAGGTAGTCAGACTGCTTGGACACGTACCTCCTCTCTTTCCTATCCTGAGTTAATTTTCTCATTTCCTTAAACAATCCACATCCTTAACTATTTGCGAACAGTAATCTAATATAGGTCTACCTCTACCCCTCTTAGCTCCTGTTTCTGCATCTAATATGTCTCTGACTAGACCTTCTTGCCTGAGAAAGTGTCCTACCAACTTATCTCATCTATTTCTTATTGACTTCCAAAGAGTCCTCTGTTCTCCTGTTCTTTCTAATACCTCTTCATTTCTAACCTTCTCTATCTACGGTATCCTCATCATTTGCCTGTAACACCACATTTCGAACGCTTCTAACCTTTTCTTTTCCGCCGCGCCCACTGTTCATGTTACGCACCGGTACAGCGCCGTACACCAATTTACTGTATTAAGAAAAAGTAGAAAAATTGGTCTAATAGAACCTTTAAAAATATATAAACTTCTAGCTGACTTTTACTGTACACTGTAGAAAATATTTTGTTAAACTTGCATTTCATTAACAACATGTTTGAAGTTAATTATTTGTAGTGAATTTTAACGGCAATTTGTTGGAGAATATACTAAAAAAGACGGAGGAAGTTTTGTAAATATAAACTTTTAATTCCCGCATTGTAAAACGATAATTATGAAATATTAATTTTTCTGGTTATTTATTATCACTTGTAATACAAATTATTCCGTTGAATTTAGCTATCACAATACTACCACAGTATGACACAATTATACTATGCATGCCACAATGGCACTAAAATGTATGCAGTCTCATTTCGATCGTTAGTCTTTGAAGTCACCTAATTTCTTATCCAAGTGGGAAGTAAACTATAAAGTTTTATACAGAGAAATGTATGATGTACCTTTTAAGTATACTTTGATGAGGATACCGTGGATAGAGAAGGTTAGAAATAAAGAGGTATTAGAAAGAGTAAAAAAACAGAGGACTCTATGGAAGTCAATTAGAAATAGGCGAGGTAGGTTGGTAAGACGCCTTTTCAGGCATGAAGGTCTAGTCAGAGACATATTAGAGGATATTAGGAGGAGTAGAGGTAGACCTAGATTAGATTACTGTTCGCAAATAGTTAAGGATATGGGTTGTTCTAGCTTTAGGTAAATGCGAAGATCAGCGCACCCTAGGAAAGAGTGGAGGTACGTGTCCACAGTCTTAGGACTGACGACCTTATGATGGTGGTGGTGGAAGGTTTTTTAAATAAACATTTGCTTCACAGCAGATATATATTTTTCGGTTTATTAAGGGGATCGTTTTGGTATGATGCGCAGTATATTCAGTTTTGAATAGAAGCACCTTAGTAATGTAGTAGTAATGTAGCAAATTTCTACAGATGACGTTCGCTACGCTGTCTGCCGTAATTTATGAAACGCTCTGTATAAAGACAAGAGTTAGAGTTTGTCTCTTAGTAACAATCTTATGCGTATTGTTGAATTCATAAAAGCCAGATGTTAAATCAACAATAATTCTTAATAAATGTTATTAGTTTTAACAAAATAATTAGCGAATTTAGCATTACACGATTGTTAATTTCACGACTTCTAGCAATCTCATAAACTCGATATGTGTCGATTGGCAGTGCCGGTAGGCAAGTAATCTGACTGGGAAAAAGGATTTGCTTTTGGAATGTCTAATCAGTGATGGAGACCGGTACTAGAGGAGATCCAGGAGCCCCAGGTGGTTTTAGGTTGGATAAAACTTTTAAACTTTTGAGTGTTTCATTCCCACCAGCTACTAATATAGGTGGACGGGTAGTCCCTCCGAATTACGCCCGAAGATAGGGCGGAAGGCCCTTTTGAGCCTCCTTTCAGGAATCGTGGGAATGGGTGGGTGGTGGTTCGAGTGAAAAAGATGAAATGGACGAATTGAAGACAGAAGAGAATGAAAGATTATTTGTGGAGTATTACTAGCATTTGCCTAAGTGATCCAAGGAAACCGCAGAAAAACTTGGACCAAGGCAGACGGGCCCGAAATCGAACCGGCGTCCTCCCGAATCCTAAGCAATGGTCTAAATCTTTATGTTATGCCGCTCGGTTGAAGTTGGGTTCGTGGTGGTAGTGATTATATTCCCGCATGCCAGGAGAAGGGAGTAGGCATCTCGATGGATTGACGGCGTATATCGGCATGGGTACCATACTTGCTAAACCTAATATGGATTAGGTAGATCTCACTCACATTAGGGCGTTCTCCTAGGAAAAACTGGTGGCTTCGGCCATCGTGTTCTGAATGAACGCATTTCAATCCCGCGCTCTTAGGGGTTGTGATAAAGGTACACCGTAAGCTAAGAACCACTACGTTAATCAAAATAAACCGGGGGTAACCCCCCAGTTATGGAGATACCCTAAGCAAAAATTTTCAGTCACTCTCAAATCTCTCAGAATCTTTCAGCGTTTCTGAGAGCGTCTCTCACCGTCTCTCAGTTATTGCCTAGGTGTTTTTATGGATCTCTCACAGTCTCAAACGATAAAATTGTCAATTCAGAGATTCGAGTCTCTCACCGAGAGACTGAATGAATAAAACTGAAAAATTGAGAGACTCGATTCTCTCGTTCAAAGACTGCTACAAAATGAGGATCTCTCTATGAGCGACTCCAGTCTCTCGTTCAGAGACGCTAAACAGTTTTTTAAACTCTCTTTTTCAGCGACACCAATGAGACTCGATGAGAGACGGAGACCCGAGTCTCGCTTTCAGAGACTGAGAGAACATTTTTATGTCGGGTATATCCATACTATATCCGAAGTATTCAAAAACTACCCAGCTCTGTCCAGTAGCCCTATAAAATTTGTTCTAATTGTTTTCAAATCATTTTTATTTTATTAAGGCATTTGTGGTTGAATTAATCTATTATAAAAGTATTTGCACTCTTTTTGTGTCTCATTTCTTCTAAATTATCGTGTCCATTCAGTAGTGCTAATAAAGGTTATTTTTACAGGTTTCTATGACCCTATGCCGCATATATCCGAGTAGCTGTTAATTATTGTATAAAAGGAGATTAAGAAAGGTCACCCACATGTAAGTAACGGTAAAATATTTCTATTCAGTTACGTAAAAAGCAATTATTACATCAATTGGTTATTACGGCTCTGTGGTATACAAAGGCCGTGTGTAAGTTATGTAATGAAATTTTGAAATAATCGAGGTTTGATAGCCCGGCGTGGTCGATACGATGATGCGTCAGCATTATTTGGTGCGACAGATGCAAGCAGATGCATTTGTTCCCATCACATCAGTAGAGACGACCCCTGGACCGGACGGAACGTTCCACTGGGCACTCACTGTATGCGGCATTTCCTCTATTGATTTATGATGAGTTCGATTCATCAATTACGCATTGTGTGCTCTGACGAATACCGTTTCGTCTACTATCGTTGGAAACGATCAGTTTACCTAAAGCTTTCTCTAACGTATCTACATATATGCAGTAGTACACGTCTGCATACACATAAAAATATAGTTGTTTTTTATTAATTATACAATTTTTAAATTTTAAGTAATATTTATCATTAGGGTTGGAATTTTTAAGTCACGTTTTTCCAAAAATATGTCAAATAAATGCTTCGTAAGTATCTTTTATGCACTTTATTGATGTGAAACTTCTTTGGGTTTGATGAGAGCAAAATCTCAGTCATGAAACGACACGTTTTGCAACGTTTCGTCTCGCAAAGCGATAGGCTATGAGAATAGAAAGGCGCGCATGCGCATATCGGTATTACAGTCAGTTGTTAGTGACCAGCATCTCCTTATTACAGTATACTGTATATTCACTATACTAAAGTGCTACTATAGTTATATTACAGCAAGTGGAGTACACAGTAAATGTTTATTTAACAACAATTAATATTTAAGAGTGAGTATTATTATGTATCAATTCTAATTCCGTGTGGTTATTGATAGTTTACGGTTTCTTAAGCACTTGGAAAAATAAACGGAAGCGAAAAAAATTTGACCATTTTTTTGTTATTGAATTACGTAAATTAAAGTAATATGTTGGAAAACATAAATCCTGAAAATTCTCGTACTCTCTCTTTCTTTCACCAATCATTACTTATTCGTTATAAAGGTATAGAGATCGCCAAAGAAGTTTCATTTCTTTCACGTGTACTGAGTTGCACCTGTGTTTTTTTTTTTTTGATGAATTTTGTTCACTGGAAGTTATGAAAAAGGTAACAATGCAACAAACATTAACTTAAATGACATTTATACATAAATTTATGCAGAATATTTAGTTTTTTCTTAAAAATTAGTATTAATTTCCGGACCCACCGTAAACGGACGAATACCGACCGCAATTTTAGAAAAAAGTAGTAAGTAGGTGACAAATTGACGTTTTAAAATGTTGTATTTAAAAAGTGACCCTTATCGTAAGGAGATTAGAATCTTAGCGTCCTGAAGGTTCCATTGTAGTGTGCGACCGAAACTGGTTTTTACGACCGAAACCGCAACCGAAACCGAATTTCGGCAACGGTCTCAGTTTCGGCCGAAACCGAAACTTCCTTATAAGGATCATGTTTTGAGAGAAAAATAAAGAAAACGTTGTTATAATCAGTCAGTTTTATTTTTTTATCTTTAAATCACATAGCTCTGCAGTCTTTGACATTTTCACTTATTGATAATCAAATCAAAATCAACATAACAATAACCCCTCATTTAAGGAAATACTTTAATTGCGCCTTCAAAATACTTAAAATAGGTGAGATGTTTATTTGAGTAAGTAAAGTAGACTAGACTCATTTTTCTTTTGAAGATGCGAAATGTCTACTAATCTACTTGGATGGAATTTAATGCGCCAAACATGACCGAGCAGAGCGCGAGAACTCCCGAACTCCGTTTCGGTTTCGGTCATAGTTTCGGCAGGTTTGCCGCCGAAACCGAAACTCGTTTTTTTGCCGAAATTCGACAGAAACCGAAACCGAAACCGAACTTTCGGTCGGACACTAATCCATTGTCTAAATTGCATCAAATAAAAGTTCTTTTGTAAAGAAAACGTTCCTAGACCAAGTGGTTAAATTTTTGGTAAATACGACATATCCAAACAAGGGGCAATAACCAACGGTTAATGACAAGCGATAATGAAAACCCTTATAATTTCCACCTAAATTTCACTTGTCAACTTATCCTTATCAGTGGAGAAAATTTCATCTAAACCTGTTAAAAGTAGCTTATGAATGGGTAGAATATATGCCATTTTATGTTGAAAAAAATATTCATTTTTATGTAGTTTTCAATACCGTTAGTCGTATTATCGTATTTCAGTGTAAAATGGATATATACACAATACAGTGTAAAATTTTATTTCTTTTAAGTCAGTTTTAGGATTAAAGTTTAACGAATATTTAAGAATTTCATTGTATTATTATAACTAGACTTTTAATTTCATTCGAGGAATGATCTATAAATTTTTAAAAAGTGTTATACGGGAAGAGTGATTATTGTATATACTTAGGTACTAGGTACTGACAAAAATTACACAAATAAATAATCGATTGGAGTTTTGGCTAAAAATATTGTCTAAACATTCTAAATAAACGTTTATGCTGTCTATCTTCGACTAAATGAAACAAGTTTTTGTTGTACATGGACATAGTCTTGTAAATGTTACAAGTTATCGTATAATTTCCTTTTGATGCGTTTCTCTATCTAGAAAACATACGTATGCTACGCGTTTGGAACTTTGTGATGGTAAAATTATACAATTTTCGATCCGCTGGTAGGTATAAGAACGAGTATGGGTCATCTGTCTGATGGTGGTGTCCATTTCAGTGAGTCGCTGTCGCCGGCGACCGTTTCCGAAGTGGAGTAACTGTATAGTTATACGAATGCTGCAATATCGCGGATTCCACGTATTTTAACTCATCTCCAACTCGCATAATACGTAAAACTGTACTTTGGCTGCTTCGGCGGCGATATGCCGATTTTACCGTTAGTTGTAACGCGCTGACTAATTTTGTTCAGAAATTTTAGACTGGTTTCGCGGAGCAACGTGTCTTTTTTTCTCGTCTTTCACTTCTTCGTCTTCTGCCTCGTCTTCTTCTTCTTCATCTTCTTTTTCTTTAAACACATATAAGTATAAATACATTCTCACACACATTTACATACACAATCGAGTTTATACCTAATCGCAAGATGTATTATACGTACACGTATGCATTCATGCTCGTCTTCGGTGGCGATATTTTAGGTCATAAGGTCAACGACGTATGTGCATGTGTGCGTGGTATGTGTCTGTCTATGGACGTACAGGACGTCCCAGATTGCTCCAAAGGCAATCGATGCGAAAAGATCTACCTATTCATTTTTTGAGGTAAATTCGTCATTAGGTGGACAAAATTTTAACTGTGATCAGAAATTACTTTTCTCAACTTTCATCTCATCATTATCATAAGGTCGTCAGTATCCTAAGACTGGTTGGACACGCACCTCCACTCCTTTCTATCCTGAGATAATCTTCGCATTTTCCTAAAATTAGAATATTCCTCATCCTTAACTATCTGAGAAGAGTAATCCAATCTAGGTCTACCTCTTCTCCTCTTAACTTCTGTTTCTACCTCTAACATGTCTCTGATTAAACCTTCATGCCTGAGATGGTGTCCTACCAACCTATCTCGCCTATTTTTTTAGTGAATTCCATAGAGTCCTCTGTTCTCCTATTCTTTCTAATTGCTCTTCATTTCTAACTTTCTTTATCCACGGTATCCTCATCATTCGCCGGTTTCGTTTCGAATGCTTCTAACTTTTTCCGCTGTGCCCACCAGATGTTTCACACCCGTACAGCGCCGCGCTCCAAACATACACTTTTAACGATCTTTTTCGAATCCTCTGCTTTATATCCCTACTACTATTTCCGTCCTGACTCATCTGACTTTCAAGATCCCTAAAATCAACCACTTCTTCTAATATTTCGTCTCCTATCTTTATATTCGCTCTTTTCATACTTTTTCTTCTCTTGCATACCAGTATTTTTGTTTTACTTTTACATACTTTCATATAATACTGTTTTGTCAATACCGCTTCCATTTTCTTTACAGCTATCTCTAACTCCTCGTTGCTAGATGCTAATACTGCTATATCATCTGCAAATCTAAGCATGCTAATTTTTTGCCCCTCTATATCTATTCCAAGAGTTGTACTGTCTTTATTGATGTTGATTTCGTCTTAGATATATGGATTAAAAAGTAGCGGCGACAATATGCATCCTTGTCCAACTCCCGTCCTAATACTTACTTCTCTACGTTGCAGGTAGGGTTGCCACCTTTTCAGGCTTTACATAAAGTATTTCTCGACTAAATGGTTCAAGAAAATACTCAGCATAAAAATAAAGTGTTTTATTTTTTGTTCTTAAAAACATATTTTTTGTTACACCTAGCAGCCAGTAACAAATTGCTGTCTCTCTTTAAATATATTAATAGCCTCTAAACATAGCAAACAAAGATTTAAGTAAACTAAAAGTCCCTTTTTAATTAGTTCTAATGAAGCTTTATTCCTGTCGTCCCGCCACTTTGTGTTCATAACAGAGAATACTCTTTCTGTAAATGCTGAAGTGAAGTAAATGCAAAAGTGACACTACTTTGAACAGATTTGGGAAATCAGGTTGTTCCTTAAATATGGCTTGCCATTTTTCTGTGCAATATTATTGATGTAAAAATACTCTGAATTTCGAATAATCGCTTACAAAATTACGATGTTTACTTAAGGCCTTAAATAAAGTATTTTTGCGTACTTTATGTGTCTTGTAAAATATAACGTACGCACATTCGAAATAGAGTACAATACTTTATAATAAAGTACGGGTGGCAACACTAGTTGCAGCCCCAGCTCTATAACTGCCTGTTGCTCTTTATACAAACTAAGTATCACTCTTCTATTCCTGTAACTCATCCTTACCTTTTTAAATATATTTAACATCTTGTCCCATTTAACATTATCAAAAGCTTTTTCTGAATCTACAAATCCTATGTACGCGCTCTTAAAATTAAATTATAATTCCTTATTTATAAGGAAAGCTGTCAAATATT